TAATGATTTAGGTTTCGAGTACTTTGAACCGCCTGCACACACACGGCTGTGCCCGTTTGCTGCGAGCTCTTTCATTTCAAAAGTTTACCGACCATGTAAACGGGGCATTTCGTTTTTTAAGTAAAACAAAAAAGTTGTCTGTTTGTTTAAACATGGATATTTAAATGAAATACAGCACGCACGCGTTATTTGTTCTTTACAATTTTCTATTACTGAATTGACGAATATTAATACCGAAAATTTCAATATTTAGCTTCATGTACATTTTTGGATATTCTTCCGAATGGCGCCGGTGGCTGATTCAATTGAGATTTAAAGGGGTGGTGGACCCCAAATATAAAATTTTAGCTTCCGATATTCATTATTTTCCGAGATATTAATAAAAATCTTTCGGTACTAAACGTTGAATCCTGCCTGTACAGACGTTGCTAACACAACTGTCTTCGACTGTCGAAGTTTCGAATCACCTCCCACTTTTCATCAATATTAAATCTGCTGCTAATTTTTTATAGATTTGAAGTTTATCTCGATTCTACATTTATCGATTTATCTCATATCAATTGATTCGAACGATAAAAAATTCTCGAAGTCGCTGACTTTTTTCTGGAAATTTTTATGTAAATTGCAATGCTCGGTGATTCTAAACCTTTGGCCGGTAGTGTATGTACGTACACATATGACTATTGGCCTCAGTATCTATAGGGTGTCCCACGTATAATCGGTTATTGTAACTTCCACAAATCCAAAATTCTTCTTTTCTTTAAAGTCACAAAGTTGGCGCTTAAAAATATAGTCCCAATCTTAACTCAGCCCTTAAAAAAAGGAAGTATTGGGGTCTCAGGTTTTTATTAATGTCTCAGAAATTAATAAATACCTGTCTAAATTTTTATGTTAAACAATTAACCGATTTCAAAATATTTTTTTAAATATTTCGAAACAAAGGAAGATGTTTAAAAATGTAATTTTTGGCCTACTATTTCCTTCTTTTCTGTACAAGTGCATATTTTGATTGATCGCAATTAAAGCTTTCCTTCATTTTATATGCTCGTTTTACGAATTGTCGAAATTTACCGAAGACACTTTCTTGCAGATATGAAATTTCTCGATTCTGCAATCCTATTTTACAGTTCACAATTTTCGTAACTTTCTATTTCTAACAAAATCATCATCGAGTTTATTTCCTTTGCAGATTTGAATTGACCAATTCCCGAAATACAAGGTTTCGATTTCGTGAAATAAAAATCATTCAAAAGTCCGGAAATCCGGGAAAACATATGGTTTATGTTTAATCATTTCAGTAATTCAAAATTGTCAAACAATGGATGCACGTGTAGTCGCCAATTTTTGTTGTTTTAACTTAAGTTTGCAATTCCGTAATTCAAAAATTTGGTACCGTTTAATTTACATTTTTTATGTAACTATGACAAAATTGTGCATACGCTGTATACGAACACGATAACTATTATACTTTTAATAGTCTTCAATAATTTTGTATTTTTTCCTATTGTAACTCGTTAGTCAATAAATCGAATAACACGTGATTAAGTATAGTAAATTATAGGGTAACACTTCTGAAAATACGTTCTGTTATTATCATATTTCTAAATCTTTCTTGCATAAAACATAGAAAAAAGGTACTAAAAATGTCCTCCTTTTCTCCACAAATGATCTCTTT